CATAAAAAGGAATTGAAAGCCTTTTGGGAATCAGATTTAGAAGATCTGCCCTTATACGTTGTCTCCATGTGCTCCATGTGACATTTTTAGTCTGGATGTATGGCTGTATATTTTTTTCCAGCATTCACAGAGTTGTGCACAATAAATTCTGTTAACACAGACTACAAGACACATACCATTTAGTGCTGACACATAAAGCATTGAAAACACAGGAGCTTTTTATGAAGGATCATTATTATAAAAACTCTAATGGTATCTGAACTTCCAAGATGCAGGTTGGACCGTATTTTTCAAACGGAGAACTTGTCCAACCATCAAATGGCACACTCCAAAAAACAAAGATCTTCAGCAGAAAATCTGGAAGAAAAAAAAGTTTGGCCTTTCTGTTAAAAATGAGTTATCTGTTTATTTGCATGATCAGTCGTTTATCGTGTTCTTCTATGTCGTGCTGTGCTCATAGAGGAGCTACAACAGCAGGTAACACAGAGCAGCACCCAGAGAGAGGAGATCATCCGCCTCAAGCAAGAACTCCATCTGCTTCATGGGGACACCCTGACAGGTACATCGCAAACACACTGTCTCACTGTTTTTCCTGCTATTTCATTGGTGGAAACTTCATGATGTATTTCTTGATATGTTTTTGACGTATAAGTCTCTTTGAACCCTGAAGGCTCGCTGGATAGATTTAGGACTGGCTAGTGTTACGTAGAGTTCTGTGTGCTTTATCCTGGTATATGGTCCTCATCTTTGATATTATATAATGAGTGAATATCTGTATGATAGCTATTTTAAATAACTGTTTTCATTTTCCTTTATTTGATGAACCTCTTCATCATTTTTTCTAATGTAAAAAAGACCAAACATATTGATGTGACAGTTATATGAAGTGGTTCTAGAAACGGAGAATAATCGGCATTTCATTCTCAGTGAATGACTCGCAGTAGATGGCGTCAGTGAACAGTGACAGTGTTAGATTCAGTAGCAGGAGTATGTAGAGATAATCAGGTATGCAGTCCTGTCTTATCAGCAGTCTGCTTTTCTCGATAGAAATCTGTAGGGTAGATTGTTTCAGATACCTCTCATCCTGAGAAAGACACTCTCCTGCAGAGATAAGCACAGCATTTGATCTCTTTGACCAGGGGAGGGAAACAGCTGGAAAGATGAGCTGCTAGAACTGGCCCACTCCAAACAGGAACGCCTCATGTCTGAGCTCCGCTGCCTACGACAGGTATAGTTTCTAACATGTAGTATTTCCCTGAGAGTACTGAACAAAACATCATAAGCGTGAACCCATAAAATATACTGTGGTAACTGGAGCCCAGCTCTGGAAGTACAGCTTTCCTCATTCCTCCAGCATAAGGTGACTTACCGGTTGGACAACATACCTCAGTGTTTCTGCAGTTACACAACGCAGATGTTTGACTCTGGGATACTGTCATTGTCTAGTGCTTCTTGAAGTAGTAACAGGCTATAAAGGGTAAATAAAGAGAGACAGTGGAACCTCAGGCACATGAAGGTCTCCTGCTTCTCCTGTAGATTAGTAAAACCCCTGAACTGAATTTGGCTGATGTTTTTTTTCAGCCATTCCCATGATTTTCTCCAGTTCTTTTGAAACTTTTTTGTGTCTGAATGTGCTTCATGTTTTCATGTAATTGCAGTCATTTTGTGTCTATAATTCAGGGGGAATGCAGTAATTTCAAATCTATTTCCAAGTGTCCAGAGTCTCTTTTTTTTGTTACATCTCTGTCTCATTGTCATCTAGGTACTTGATATAGTGTGCCTCTAAATGATCATTAAACATATTTTTATATTAAGTTACAATTTTTAGGTAGTTTTCATCTGTTTGTAAGTGAGAATCTTTAAATCCACTTTTACTACTAGAATTTTTCTTTCAGCGTCTCTCTCTTTTCAACATAAATGCAGACAATTTACTCTGGTTTGAACCCCGCCTGTCATGTGGGGTCATGTTTTTAATAATTGAAAGTTTTAAGTTTTAAAAAAATGCATTCAAGTGATCATGTTTGTGTGTGTGCAGGTTTGTGAGAATCAGCAGAATGACCTGCAGCTGATGCAGCTGAGTTGTGAAACCCTGAAGGGGAAGACCAGTCAGGGATTATTGGGCAGGTGAATAATGTCCTAGGATAACAAACAAAACAGCAAAAAAAGTGCAAACCATGTAACAAAAATATGTGAAGGAACTACTTTCTGGTAGTCCTGACCCCAGTATAGTAGCTTTTCCACATATTGTTGTTCAATGGTTTGCACTAATTTTGCTGCTTTTGGACGGCTCCTGTTAGGGGTGGCCACAACAGATCATCTGCCTCCATCTCACCCTCCCCTCCATAGAGTCTTATTCTGTCTTCTTCACTATGTCCATCCATACTGCCTCCTGTCTTTTTGGCAGTGCCACTGTTTTGTGCAGCCAGAAATACATTTTAGAGCCCACAGTTATTAAAACCACAGAGGCTGCACAGCTGGCAGCAGGTGGTTTAAACCAACATGGTTACAGACCCTTTGCAGGCATATCATGTCACAAACCCATTCCAGCAAACTAAGCTTTCACTGAGTAAATATGTGTGGATTATATTGTTGGCAGTAGGTATACTGTGGGGTTTTTAGAGACTCTGGACACTGATAGCAGCACACATACCCACAGCTGGCTTGTTGACTGGACAACATACTAAAAAACCCCATAAACATTCAGTGTGTGTGTCCAGTACAGTCCAATGTAGGAATGAATTAATTGTTTCGTAAGACTCAGATAATGTCTAAATGTCTAATTCTTAAATCTCAAATTTAGTAAGTGTCTGTGTTTTGTATATTAAATTGAATGTGGTAAAGTTGTGAAAAATCCTTCTAGATTTTTAATGAATGCGTCTCTCTCTGTGTTTCAGCCAGGATGAGTTAACATGTAACTATCCAAAGGATGAGTCACCTTCTTCACTCAGAGGGAAGAACTTAAAATCTGTGTATGATGATCTGCCTGCAGATGCTCTTCAAAGCTCAAACAACTGTAACCAGGGAGTCTTCTCAGCTTACTTGATGGATGTAAGACAACTTTATAAAGTCTCTCTACAAACCTCTTGTTTGTCAGGGACAGCATATAAGAAGAAAGTTTGTAGGGAGGGTGGGAATGGGGCTAAAATAGGTTGTTTAAGATGAGATGGGGCGATGTCAAGGGGCGATCGTGGCTCAAGAGTTGGGAGACTGACAACCTTCCTTGTAAGGTTGCCGGTTCGAGCTTGGACAGTCTCGGTCATTGTGTCCTTGGGCAAGACACTTCACCCGTTGCCTACTGGTGATGGCCAGAGGGGCAGATAGCGCGATATGGCAGCCTTGCTTCTGTCAGTCTGCCCCAGGGCAGCTGTGGCTACATCTGTAGCTTGCCTCCACCAGTGTGTGAATGTGTGTGTGAATGGGTGGATGACTGGTTGTGTAAAGCGCTTTGGGGTCCTTAGGGACTAGTAAAGCACTATACAAATACAGGCCATTTACCATTGTACAAGTTAAACTATGGGGGTACACCAAGGACCTGTATATGTTAAATTCAACTGTCAGTCACCCAAAGCTACTCTGATAGAGTCCAAAAACAAAAATATTGTGCTAGAAGTAAGTCTGTGTTTTTTTTTATATGGAAACCGGAATGAAATACTTTTGACCACACAATTGAGGCTGCTGACAGTTCTGAAACATGCGTTGGCAAAGAATGATGACACAATGGAGTTGTCTTTTAATGCTGCTCAGGTTGGAAAAATTAAGATATTTCTGTTTCTAGTTGTTATTTTAAGCTAAACTAGCAAGATTTTAAGTAACTCCTAATATAAGCACAGACAAAAGTGACGTAAGGTTTTTCAGGCATTGCAAAACAAATCCGTCACCATATTGAAGTATTCCATTAAGACCAAGAGTTCTTTCCTTCTCTCATCAGGACGGCCCTCTTTCCAGATGCTCTCTGCAGCAGCTGTTAGATGAGTCCAGGCTGGTTGTGGCTGGTTCAGGGAACAGCATCCTGAGACTCCACAGTTCTTTACAGAATAGCAGCCAAATGGTGAGTTGTAGCCCACTGACCCTTTTTATTTCCAGGAGTCCCAGACACCCCAACATCACCCAAGTACCTCCATCCTCAAGTACCTTCATGACTTTCGGCCTCTTTTCATCTCTCTCTCTCCTTATTTGTGTTCATGGGGTGTGACATGAAAAGGATAAAAATATTCAGTTCCTCCTGTTTGGGTGTGTTAATCATACCAGCTTGATCTTATATCTTTTTCTCTAACAGACCAGTCCAGCTCCACCCAAAGTTCGTCCTCAACATAACACCAACCAGCCAGTAAATCACATGGACTTGATGACTCAGCTGAAGAATTGATTTTCCTCATGTATGTTTCAGTATTTACCAAAGTGACACAACTGTTGAGCACTAACTTTGAACTGAAAAATCAGTGTTACTATATTAAGCACTGCATGCACCACTTGTTGAACCTTAAGGCCTCCCAGGAAAAGGTGAAGTATAAATACAGACTGTGAAATGTTTTTATATCACTGATATTGTTTTAAATTGTGAGATGTGAATATGTCCTCTGTAAGTATTTAAACATATAAAGACATACAAAAATGTCATTGATTAACAAAGCCAAAGAGTGTATTTTTAAAATCTTATTTGTGGCTTTTAAAGGCTGAAACGTGTGGAGTGAGTGAGATGGGAAACCAGTCCTACAGGGCTGATGGGTGGTGTGTCCTTGTACCGTTTTTCCAGTTTCACGGGCTACAGATCAGCCTGGTGACTCAGCCGAAAAGTCTGCGTCTTTTAATAGCTTTTACGTTTTTTTGTTTGTTTTTTAAAATAAAAATATCTGTATATAACCTACATGTATGGTACTTTATTACCTGACAGTCGCACACTTTTTTTCATTTCCTTTCATTATGTTATTTATGGGTTTGGATGAAAGCTGCTTTGTTCGGACAGCTTTTTAAAAGCATCCTGTGGTAATTTGAAGGAGCTAGCCAAACCAGCAGGATTGTGGTGACGTACGTGCGCGCGCCGCACCTGACTCACCTTTGTGGTTTAACGAGGCGCGAGAGCACGGACAAGGAGCCTGAACCTGTGTGTGGGACCACTTTATATTTATGTGTCTCTATTTTTCGGTGAAAACATGAGTAAAACGAAGAATAAGAGTGATAATAAGACGGAAAAGGCTTTGGCTGCGGAGAAAGAACAGTTCGGAAAACAACAGGTTAGTCACTTTGTTCCTGTGTTGGATAACTTTTTGATGTCTTTCCCCCCAATCTGTGGATTTTAAAGTCTTCCTTATTGTTCACACCGTGTGCTTGATGATAACTAGTTTTAACTGTCAAATGGGTACCAGACAGTATCGAAATGTCAAATTCTTCACTTCTTCTGACATATTAGTGGAAAATCTTGTTAAATATATCACGTGTCAAGGAAGTTCACTGGTGTTATTTCTGTCATGTCTTAATCTTGAAGTTCAATCTGATGTGGCTGTGTTAACTAGTTCCTCGTGTCCTGATTGCTCTTCTTTCATTTCTTTTAGCTCCACAGCATCAGCAAAGCTGTCACCACAGCTGAAACACCACCAAAAGACAAACATGTACGCAGTATCCTTTTAACAGCAGGTTTCCTGCTAACCAGGCTTACTGGATATACAAAACAAATACAATTTCATATATACTGTACATCTTTATTTTTTTATAAATAGCTCATGCTGACTGGCTTATTGGGACAATGCTAACATTTGCTAAGGAAATAAAACCGAATCCCTGTAAGGTATTTGGGTAGGCTTCATAGGTATCAAATTAAAGAAAAGCAACTGAGATTCGGCTTTTGGGGATCCTCAGCGTATGTGCTAAATGTCACATTCTGGAGAGCATCTTGAGACATTTAGACATTTGAATGCATGAGTGAAAAGTTGTTGGCAATACCGGAGGGGGGGGGGGAAATCAGGACCTCTCCTTTAAAAAAATGGATTATTAATTGCAAAAAGTCACAATATGCCTTTGATCAACTTTGCTGAAAGTCTTTGTAAAGTTGTCAGTTAACATATTTTAAAGTTAACATAACATTTTCTTTAAAAAAAATTATCTGATGGAGACCCTCAACACCTTTTTTTTTTATCAACTTTAGTTATCGCCCACCTCTGGCAAATAACAGCCTGAGAAATGTATCAGTCAATCAGTTTAGATACGTGATTTCTTGAGTTTTCAACTGTCCAACAGTCTTCAACTTTGACTATACATGCAGTAATGTTTGGAATATTTCAGTGTATGGTAAAGTGGTGAACTGACCAGCAGTTGTCCCTAGATCAAAGCCATAGCGTGTGTAAAATATGTTGACTGTATATAAACCATTGCTTTCTCTCCCCCTTTGTCTTAAGCTTATCCACTGTCACCATCTCTTTTTTTAAAAAATTCATAATTGTGATGTTGACCTAATTGAGGAACTGAGGGATTCTGAGGGATTCTATCTCTTCATATGATCCGAGCGGTGTCAGTCTCTCCTTTTATGATGAAACTGCTCAGTTATGGCAATCAATGTTATGCTTGTGTTTATTGTCACTTAGAAAACCTCATGCAGTTATTGAACTGTATTAAACTGTTACAGGGATTTATTAAGCTGTCAGTATAATTTAAACAGAAAACAAAAAGAGGTGAGAGGACCAAGTGGTCGTCATGGATCCAGGAGAGTTAAGTCCTGATTGTGGTGGTGTTTTTGAACCAATTTCACATGGGCACCACCGGGCATCTACGGTGAGCAAAGGGAGCCAAGGGGCCAGTGGACTCTCAGAAGACCTGTACAGTAGCCAGAGTGACTGAAACTGATAGCCACAGAGGGGTGGAAGCACACCGCTCTGATGTGCAGGGGGTTTGTTTGAATTACAATTCAGAATGAAAGCTTAATAGAAAAAGTGAATGAAAACAACTAATTCCCCCCAGGATTTTTTCATAATTTTTGAAAGCCCAAATCATAAATTGTATTAAAATGCAATAAATCAGAATCAGAATACTTTATTAATCCCGAGGGAAATTAGGGTTACAGCAGGCAGCACGCTAATGGCGCATGCGCACTTACAAAGGAACCTTCTGACCAACTTTACACAAACATCACATTGGGGAGACATGTCAGAAAGGTAGGCTGATAGGAAAAAAACAACGAAAATACACTACATGAGGTAAGAGGAGGAGAAAAAAACTCCACTCAGACTGAGCTCCTAGTGGGAGAACAGTTTGATAACAGAAAAAACACCTCAGCACAAAAGCACATGACTATCAATACACCATAGAAACACAAGACAAGCAACAGGGGCGGTAAAGGGTAAGAGAGAGCCGGTGTAGACAGCGCATCCGGTCCTGCAGCATATCTGCGCTGGTCCAGTTGACTGCCATCTTCCCCGGTAGGGCACAAGCATCGAAGGCGTTGGAAAGGGAGGCGGGATGAGTGAGTGCTTATCAGTGTAAGTGTGTGTGTGTGCGTGTCCATAGTTTAGCTGAGACAGTGTCCTTCGGCCTATCAGGCTAAGTAAACAGTCCTCCAGCCAATCCAGGTGTCCTTGCATGGGACGGGAAGAATAGCCGTAACACAGTCGTTATCAGGGGACACCCAGTAAGTGGGGCCTTAATTTACAAAATGAACATATTGTATTTAGTACAATTTCAAACTAGGGACTGAGTAAATGAATGTATCGGGAAAACATTTACTGAAGTCATAATTTAAATCTTCTCAGATCAACCAGATATTCTCAGATTTTTTTTATTTCAACCAGAGCAGTCACCACCCTGCCAACCAGTTAAAAAGGTTGCCTGTTGAAGGCTTTGCCACCCTGCATTCATTTTTCAGACAGTTTGACAGTCGACTGCGATAGTGTGTCCGTACTTTCTTTGAACTGTTTGTGCATTGGTACTTGGGAGTCTCCTTGACAGCTGTACAGATATCATCATGGGAACTCATAAAGAGGGTGGAGCTACGGCCTTCTGGTCGTATGTCTTGAACCTACCTCTATCCAGCAACTCCATTGTGAGCTGGAAGTTTTGCTATCTGGTTCACAAAATCCTCAGGGATGGACACAGAAATGTAAGTTCAGTTTTTTGCATTTCCTTCACCTTATACTCTCCCGCGCTCCGGTTGGTGATATGTAATCTCTTGTGTCTGTTTGATGTACAGGTGGTGACGGATTCTTACAGATACTGTCGTAATGTGAAAGATATGGGCACCCTCTGGGTGAGTAGCTGCCATATTGAAGCCGCAGCTTATATTTAAACTAGAGAATACAGTTTGGAGGTTTATCTATTAAAAAGCTTTATTTTTCATATTGAGAGTTTGTAAAAAGATCTGCAGTTACATGCATCTTTGTTTCACCTTTTTAAGATGTTGATTTCTAAAATATAGTCCTTTTTTGTTTGTTTTTGTTTATTTTTTTTTAAATTGGTGGTTTTGTTTGTCCATATTTGGAAACATCAGTATGACTCGCATTAATATTTATTAAAATATTTGTGTTGACTGCGTTGGTTGGTGGGTTAGTAAGGTGATTCAGTTTAAATATGATTGTTTTCTAAGCAACAAACTCTTTTTTTTTTTTTCTTTCTTTTTTTTTTCTGTTTTTTTTTCTTTCCTGTCCAGGGAAACTTGCATGATCGATATGGGCACATTGTCGCCTTGTCTTCCAAATACCTCTGCCAAAAAATGGAATTTCATAAAAAGGTAATTACTCATAATTTTAGTGTTACATTGGAACAAAGGTACATTTTTACAGCATAATCGATGTTTTGTTGCTTTCTTGTTTCAAGAACTAGAAACAAAATGCTCTGTATTGCTGTTCCTACCCACATGCAGACTTACACAATCTCCTGTGTACTTAAACTGTACTTACTGCTGTAAGTACAGTTGTACTTAAATTGAACTGCTCATATACCTTACCATATACGGACCATACCATATACCTTTAACATTTGCCTGTGAAGGTTCTCAGTCATCCAGGTCATCGTAGTCAAAGGAGCTTGCAAAGAAAAGCGTCTGGACTTCTTTAAGTTACTTGAAGACGTTTCACCTCTCATCCGAGAAGCTTCTTCAGTTCTAAGGTCAAATGGTGGAGAGTCCCAGATATAAACCTAGTGGGAGTTTCCCCCCACAGAGGGACAAAAGGACCCCCTGATGATCCTCTAATCGCCTGAGCCAAGGTGTGAAACTGGGTGTGGGTCCCAATCAGCCAGAGTTTCGGGTGAGTTCATTGTGAAACCTGGCCCCACCTAATCATGCGAATTCCTGAGGTCAGATGGCCCAGGATGTGAGTGGGCGTTAAGGTGTCTGGGAAGGGATCTCAAAACTGGATTATAGATGGCAGAGAGTTGGTGTCGTAAACCCCCGCCTCTGTTCAAAGATGGTTGCTCACAGTGGACATAGATGGCTTCTTTCACTCCTCTTTCAAACCATCTGTCCTCTCTGTCCAAAATGTGAACATTGGCATCCTCGAAAGAGTGTCCTTTATCCTTAAGATGCAGATGGACTGCTGAGTCTTGTCCTCAGGAATTCGCATGATTAGGTGGGGCCAGGTTTCACAATGAACACACCCGAAACTCTGGCTGATTGGGACCCACGCCCAGTTACACACCTTGGCTCAGGCGATTAGAGGATCATCAGGGGGTCCTTTTGTCCCTCTGTGGGGGGTCACTCCCACTAGGTTTATATCTGGGACTCTCCACCATTTGACCTTAGAACTGAAGAAGCTTCTCGGATGAGAGGTGAAACGTCTTCAAGCAACTTAAAGAAGTCCAGACACTTTTCTTTGCAAGCTCCTTTGACCTTTAACATTTCAAAAAACATAAAAAGCGGCTAATCCAAATGGCAGTCAGTTAAGCGTGAAAAAAGGAGGAAAAACACGAGCATGTACTGTATCAGTCAAAAGTTTGGACACACTTTGCCTTCACTGCTTCTATTAGCCTTAGTTAAAGGCCTCAGATCCTAACCAAACAGAGCTTTCTTTGTGTGCCCATCATAATCCTGGAAACACTTCCAAAGGAAGTGTATTAACAGTTTTACTCTCTCATAAATAAAGGTTAAACATTTCTGGCAATTAAAGACAATTGTACAGAATTGTTAGAAAACCTTTAATTAGTACAATACAAGCTTTCTTGTCTGTAGGCAGCTAACATCCATGTGCTAAAGGAAAGGGTTCCTTAATCGGTTGTTTTAGTTAAGTAGCATAATATGACTTTTTTTTTTTTTTTTTTTTTTTTTACAGCACAAGGTTATCCCAGGCAACCTGGAGGCCAGTGATGAGACTTTGGAGAAGGAAGCAGGAAGTGACATGAACAAAGTGTAAGTTGTCCACTTTTTTTTTTAAGCACAGGTAATGTGTTTCAGTTCTGCTTGAATATTTCTTGTTAAATGTTTTATATTGTAGGCTGGATATGACACAGGAGCTGTTGGATTACCTGGATGCTGGACTCAAGATGGCTGACACAGGTTAGTCCGTTAGGAGGGTCATTATATCTGTCTGTCTGTCTGATCAGTCGCTCAATACTTTCTGACATTAATTCTATTTATAAAGCACATTTAATAACAACAGAGAGTTGACCAAAGTGCTGTACAAAGTAATAATTAAGCAGTGACATTAACATCAACAACAGCTAAGAAAATTAGGATAAAAAGAATTGGTAACTCTCGTGCAGTATCAAAAGCCAAAGTGGAAAAAATATGTTTTAAGATGGGATTTAAAAGAGTGACAGTTGGGGCCTTTCTAATGTGGAGAGAATAGAATAGAATTCAACTTTATTGTCATTGCACATGCACAGGTACAGGGCAACGAAATGCAGTTTGCATCCATCCAGAAGTGCTTTCTGGAGAGGTAGATCGTTCCACATTTTCGGCACCACAACCACAAATGCCGATCCCCTCTATGAACCATCCTAGACTTGTGTAAGATAAGGAGTATATGATCACTTGATCAAAGGGCTCTAGAGGGCGTATAAAGCTGCAAAAGGTCAGACAAATAGTCTGGTGCCTGGCCATTTAGCGCTTTATAAGTCAAAAGTAAGATTTTAAATTTAATTCTAAAACTCGCTGGAAGCCAATGAAGGGAAGCAAGCACTGGAGTAATATGTTGGTGTCTCTTCACACGAGTCAAAAGGAGGGCTGCAGCATTTTGTACAAGTTGTACTGCAAATGTTGTACATTACTGTAGTGTGTCGTGTTTCCTGCACCACGCCTACTGAAGATTCCTTGAAATAATACGCTGTAGTTTACCTAAAAAATAAATAGTTTGAACCAACACATTAGTGTTCATTCTGTTCTTCAGCAAGTTAAAAACCCCTAATCAAATTCCCTAATTTGGCTTTAATGCCAAATAGTATTTCGCCAGGTGGAGGCCAACCAGGCCAAATCTACAACTCCAGCTGGGCAGTGCAGACTGATCCCACTCATACCTCTCATACAGGACTGCAGCTTTCTCTATCACTTCTGTGTGCGATTGTTGTTTAAGCTTCACAGCCGTGAGTGAAAAACAAATATTTATTTATTAAAATAAATCATGAGATAGTCAGCATTATTTAAAAAATGCCTTAAATCAATCATAACCTTTTCGTCACAGGCATTTCTCCAGATGTTCTTCTTGGACACAGAGACCGGTTCCGTGATCTGTTTATGAGGTGAATTATTTATTAGAGAAACTCACTAATCTATTTAACAGGAACAAAGTAAAATACATTTGCTGTTTAAGTGGTAGCTAAAACCTAATTTCCATTACAATGAAAAACATGTAAATAAAAATCTGAAAACGACAAAGAATGACAGTGACCTTAAAAGAAGAGGTCTGACACTGACTGTTATTTTTTTCTGTAGCCTCACACAGTTCTTTGACAAAGCCAGAGAAATGGAGTTCTTTAAAACTTTCATCCAGATCCCAGATCTCCCAGATGTAAGTGCCACAGATTTCTTTTTTTAACATTTACGTGCTTTGCTCCTTCTGTTTTTGTGCCTTTTGTGTATGTTAATTGTATCATTGCCCCTCAGGCTCCTCCAAACTTCCTCCGAGCCGCTGCCTTGGCTGAGTACAAAAAACCAGTAGTAGTGACGCCAAATGAGGAGCATCATGAGGAGGAGGAGGATGTGGAGCCACAACCAGAGTTTAGAGAAGCTTCTCAAATGCCACAGGTATGGTACATAGTTGTCAGAAGATATGGTACTTTGAAATTCCACCAGCTTTGTGTGGTGTCAGTGCTGATATGTAGCTTTTTATCAAACCAGTACTATCTGCTCAACCAAATGAGAACACCTGATTCTTCAGTGGAGCAGAGAGAAATGGAAAATGACAGTCTGAAGAGAGAGCTAGATGTTCTGAAACCAGAATTACAGATCTTCAAGAATGAGGTAAATGGGATAAGATGACAGTGTTGGAGTGGCTGGTCACATAAATCTGAAAACCCTTCCTCTATGCAGTCAGCCATGGTCCTTCCATATGATGGCTAAGAGGATGCTAACTGTAGCATCCTCTGCTTTGTGATTGGTGATATTGATACATTGTGATCATTGTGCATTCATTAGGACTTGTATATTGAAAGTCATATTGAAACATTACCAAGTTTATGTTCAAATGTCTCATTTACAGCTTGTAATTGTAAAATGTGTTTGTTTCTGTGTTGTTCACAAATTAACCAAAACAGCAAGACAAGAAGTCCTTGTCAATAATTGTAAGTTTCTTCTTCCTTCCCCAGGCTCAGAGGTGTGTAACAGAGTTAAAGAGTCAAGTGAACCGACTGCAGGCTGAGGTCGAGGAGCAGCGCACCCACAAGCAGATGGCAATGGTTGAAAACGAACACCTGCGCATGGAAGTGGAGGCTTTACGAAGCACTAATGTGGCTAACATCGGGGCACAGATTGGATTCAAGGAGGCAGATGGTGAGAGTTCAGATGTGAGCATGCAGCTGAATTAGCAATACAAAAAGAGCTAAAACTGAGTAAAAAGGTGCATCTTCTTCCTAACTACACAGGCAGAGCTCAAGCAGCAGAGCTTCGTTTCACTCAACTTAAAGAGAGACATGCAGAGCTGGTTAGCAGCCATGCTGACCTAATGAAGAAGGTAAATTGCAGTTTCTTTTATGTTTATTTGTAACTTCCTTAGCTGTCGCCTTTTAAAAATTGAAATTAGAACGTTGAACCACATTGTTCAACTCAATTAATGATAGAGATAATTGGAGATGGTGATAGGTGAATTTTGTTACCTTCTTACAGACCCCATCCTGCTGTTTTCCTGTGTTTCTCATTTTTGTAGCAAGCTGAGGTACCTTTACCTTCTTAGTTATTATGGAATGTATTTTAATCATGTGCAGAATACAGAAACGGTGAAGATTATGTCAAGCACCAAACAAGAGCACGATGATTTGCAGAGGGCTAAATATCAGCTAGAAACTGAGCTGGAAAATCTACGACGGGAGAAAAGCAACGTGGTAAGACCTGCATCAGACATAGTTTTGTGTTGATGAACAAAAGCTGTTGTCACTATTGATCTTTTCTTTCTTTCTTTTTCTTTTTTCGTCCTGATCAGATGAATCAGCAGCAGATGGAGGTGGACCGCCTGAACCAAGAACTGCTGGAGCAAAGAGCAGAGCTTGCCACCTTGCGCAGTACTCTGGAGAGTAAAGAGAAGGTAAGACTATAATATGACCACAGATTTCATGGCAGAACACATCTATTTTTAGACTTTTGGGAAAACCCTTGTTGTTCTTTCAGCTGCTCCTTTCAGGGGTTGCCAGAGCTGGCCATCTGCCTCCATCTCAACCTGTTCCAAGCATCCTTCTCTGACACACCAACCCTCTGCATGTCCTCCTTCACTACATCCACGAATCCTTTGCAGTGGTCCTTCCTCTTTTCCTCCTGCCTGGCAGCTCTAAAGTTAACAACCTTTCTCCAATATAGCTTCTAGCCCTCCTTTGCATATATCCAAACCATCTCAGCCTTGCCTCCCTTAACTTTGTCTTCATAATGGTCGAACTCAATGTACTAATTTCTCTGATATAGTAATTCTAATCCTGTCCATCCTCTTTACCCCTAATGAAAAACGTAACATCTTTAACTTTTCTACCTCTAGCTTGTCCTCCTGACTTTTGCTATCCTGCTGTCACTAATTGTCCCTGACATTTGTCTCCACCCTGCCTGCAGTCTCTTTTTCCCTCTCTTGTGCTTGTCTGTTTATGTGAATTGTTGACCCCAGTTATAAAAAATTCATCTACCATCACTATTGCTCCTTGCAGCTTCACCTTTACTCCTGCTTGACCTCATCTGTTAACCTGTCCATCACCATTGCAAACAATAAGGGACTCAGAGCCAATCCCTCATGTAGTCTTGCCTCCATCTTGAACCCATCTTTAACATCTACCGCACACCTAACTACTGTCTGTCGTCGCATATATCCCATCCTCACATACTTCTCAGACTCATCCTATAGTACCTGGGATAGGCTCTAGAGTGTTGAAAGCATCTTGGTGCCTGATAACCAATGCCAAAAACACATTGGGCATTGAGTTCTCATATGAGTATGAGTTCTCAAGATGTCTTTGTGTTTCTTTAGGAGGGATCTCAGGTGAGCAGCAGTTTGACAGCTCTGCAGGCTGAGCGGGAAGTGCTGCTACGCTCTGCAAGAGAAAAAGATGCAGAGCTTACCACTCTGAGACAACAGGCACAACTGCAGCAGAGCTCCCTGGACTTGGAGAGAGACAGGACCAACCAAGAGCTGGAGGATCTGAGAGCTCAGCTACAGCAGCAGGTCTGAAACACGCATCACTAAAAGGTCCAGAGTGAAATACAACATGGTCTTTCACAGGGCTAATGATATTAATATATCAATAATGTATTAGCTCAGGAATAGACTGCCAACCTATCCAGGGTTTATCCCTCCTCTTGCCCTGTGACAGCTAGGTTAGGTACCCAACCACAACACTGAATTGAATAAGTAGCAGAGGATGAATGGAAAGATTTCGTCTTCAGGCATTGCAAAAAATGTCCACACTTTGGTATTTTGATATCTGTAACGCTTTGCTTATGTGTTTTCTCTGTAATATTGTAGGGTCTTTACATTACAGTTCAAAGCACTATGCAACTTTTATTGTGATTTGGTGCTATATAAATACAATAAAATTGAATTGGCTCAGTAGCTTTGTTTAAGACATGTTCAAATATCAATTCAGTTTTAACCTCTTTATGTTAAACTACATTATAAAATCATACTTACTCCTTAGAGCTATAAATATCCAGGTATCAAGCCATGTTAGTGATCTTTAAATGAACTTTCCAAACTGGTTGAGTGCTCCATTAACTTGGCATGACAGTCCTGTAACACTGTCAGACTTTAAAAGCTAAGATTAAAAGCCTCAGAACCAGATTTCTATTCCACATATTGTCTCCCTCCTATAGCCTCTGTACAACATCTGTAACACTGCGTGTAAAAGGACTGCCTGACCTTTGTCATGATATTGGTTGTTCAGCCTTGAACCACTTAGGCCCATCTTTCTTTTGACTTCCTTATCAAACACAGCTCTGTCTTGTGTTTACTTTTACTTTATTTGCCTGATTGATGATTGTGTTTTTCTTTGCTGTACTGGAAGCATTTATAATTGGCACAAAAGTGCCCCTAAACTTGTTGTATAATATAATTCTGTCTGCTTTTCTGTGTCTTCTGTGTTTCCTGTAGCTTGCCATAAATGCAGCACAGAAGTTGGAAATTGACAGGCTCAAGCGAGATTTGGAATCCACACGAGCAGAACTGACACAAGCAAACAACATCCTGCAAAGCAAAGAAATGGTCAGAACATTTAGATCAAAACTGCTGTAAACTTATTTTCTAGCATCTACAAGCCTTGAAGATTATAAGATAAGACTTATTTGTAAATGAAAAACGTTTTTAAAATCTGTTTCTCAGAGTGGTACCCAGCTAAACAACACACTGGCAGGGCTGCAGGTGGAAAAGGAGGGGTTGCTGCGTATGATGCGGGAACAGGAGGCTGAGCTGAAAACCCTCAGACAACAAACTCATCTTCAACAGTCCTCTCTAGAGCAGGAGAGGCAGAGGAGCAGCATGGAACTGGGAGGCTTACATGCCCAGTTACAGCAACAGGTCCAGTTTCCTGTTTGTCGCTCTATTTTAAGACTTTATAACTGACTAATTATTAACTTCGTGTGTATGTGTGTGTGATAAATCAGGCTTCTCGTGAAAGTCAGCTAGCCCAGAAGCTGCAGGAGGAGCAGTTTTGTCTGCTACAGTGTGCAGTGGTGGAAGCTGAGGGCATCATACTGGACGCTGTGGCCAAACTGGATGACCCTATACATGTCCGCTGCATCAGCTCTCCTGGTAAAATCACAATTATTTTCCCTCCTCAAAGAAAATCCCTTTAAAAAGAGTTTTTAAAAAATATTTTAAGGACGGAAGCTTTTATTTATTTTGCATTCAGTTGCCCATGTGTTTGAAAAGTGTGCAGTACATTATGTAACCAAAAAAAAAGCCATAGAATAGGCATTTTAATACAAAAACAAAACAAACTGAATAAAATCAGCAAACCTCTATTCTAAGACGTTAATAAATATTGACATTGGTTCATCTGTTTGAGGAAACGCACGAAGAAAGTAAACACATGGCTGATGCCTTTTAAATTTCAGAGATGACTGAAGTTCTTCATATAACTCATAGCATTCAATAGCAACAGCAATCTTCAACACAGATTTTAATGGAGGCAAAAGCAGATGTGCACATTATGATATGGAAAGACATGGCAAAAAAAAAAAACCTCCACTGAAAATAAAGATTCAGTCTACACACACATTTAAGGATTCATCATTATGGAAAACTATAAGTTGTTACTTCAGCACTGCTACACAAAACTTTATACAATAAATTAACATGGTAACCAAAAATCTTTAATCCTCAGACCTTGCTATTTTGCTTTTCCATACTGTTTGTTTTTGATCAGTTATTTGTGTTTGACAGATTATTTGGTGAACCGAGCGGAAATCACCCTGAATTCTATTGACAAAATGCAGCAGAGCCACTTGGCCTATCTGGGAAACAGTAATGGTACGTTGGGAATTGTGGGTGTGTTCAGTTCAAGTCAGGTACATCAACTGATTAGTTTGTTTAATCCTTCCCTGTTCTGTCTAGATGCCAGTGGTTTGCTAAGAGCAGTCACACAGTTTTCCCACCTTGCTGCTGACACAATTGTTAACGGATCGGCAACATCTCACTCAGCCCCTGTCGACCAGGCGAACTGTAAGAAACGTACATAGTTGTTGTAACTGTTGTAACACTTGCTAAATATTTTCTACACAGAAAGTTGAATGCTGTGTGTTGGACTCATACAGATCTGACTGACAGCTGTCGGGACTGTGCCAATCACTGCCTTCACTTCTTGAAGGATTTGAAGATTCAGGCGAGTTTACAGCGAGCAGACCCGTCTGCAATACGCTATACTGTTCAACGTATCCTCGCTGTAGGACAGGTGGGACTGAATTTATATTTAACCAATTAACAAGACAGTATTGTGTGTATGTATGAGTGTGAGAGAGAGAGAAATTGTCAAGTGTGTATGTGTAAAATTGAAAATGAGGGTGGGCGAGCAGTGAACCGCTCCCTCCATGACCATGTTTCCATGTTATTGAGATAATGGCAAGAAAAGTGCCAACTTTTTTGCAGGTTTCCAAAGATCCTGAACTTGACCTCTCAATACTCGCTACTGAGACTCATGTTTGCTGTAACTGTGTGACTCTTGTTTAGGATTTGCGTCCGAAAGGGCATGATGTGCTAAAAGAAGAACTAGGAAGCATGGTGGACAAAGAGATGCTCGCCACATCTTCTGCCATTGAAGAGGCTGTCTTGCGAATGGATGTAAGAACAACCATCAGATAATTTATAAAATATATATAAGATGATCTTTTTGATATATCAAAAATAAGCATTCTCTACTATGACCTGTCTACGCAAAGCTACTGTTCTCTGAATTATATTTCTATCATTTATCTCACATAGACATCTGTTCTTTCTTTTTTTATTTTTCATAGGAAATACTGAGTCAGGCAAAGAAAGACAATACTGGTGTCAAACTGGAGGTCAATCAGAAGTAAGAAAAATCCTAAAGAATCATCATAAAATTATTTATTTCTGTGGTGGTTATTTTCCTCCTCTCTTACTTACAATCTGTGTGTTTGCTTCATCACAGTATCCTGGGATCCTGCTCAGACCTGATGAAGGTAAGAAAGTGGGCAATATTCAAATAATTTTGTGAACTTTAGTTAACTCTTGTTTCCTGTATTTACTGTGGTGCCCTCTCTTCTCTCCAGGCTGTTCACATGCTGGTGACTGCTGCTACTGACCTACAGAAAGACATTGTGGAAGGAGGAAGGGTAAGTTGATGTCACCCTAAAGATAAAATTGCAGGACAAGTTCAGATATTCTGTCTTTTTATTCATCAAACACGATGCAGAATGGAAAAAATGTGGGAAAAATCATGATTATCCTTTATTATTATTACCTTATTCTTCTTCACATTAACATGTAAAAGTGGCCTTTTTAGAGCTAAAAGCTCTCGAGCAAAATTGTGTGTGAGTGGGGCTTACAGACATGTATGAAGGTGTGTGTGTGTGTCAGTCCAGTCACTGAGTGTTCAACAGTCTGATGGCTTGGGGGAAGAAACTGTTTCGCAGTCTGGCAGTGAGGCCCTGAATGTTCTGGTAACACTTGCCAAAAGGCAGCAGAGTGTGTGTGTGTGAGGGGTCCGTGGGGTCTTCCACAATGCTGAGTGGGTGCGAATAGTGTCTGTGACTGTGATGGAGGGAAGAGAGGCTCCAATTATCTTCTCCATTGTGATACCATTTGAACAACTAACAGTCTTACCTATAAATTTCAATATATCCAGTGTTTTAGCATTTTGCTAAATTTTGGCAATGAACAAGAAGCAGAATCTGCAGTTGGTGTTTTATTGAGTGACCCATTTGTTCCATTTGTGCTGTCAGGGTGCAGCAACTGTTACTGAATTCTATGCCAAAAACTCTTGCTGGACCGAAGGACTCATCTCTGCTTCCAAAGCTGTGGGCTGGGGGGCCACACAGCTGCTGTAAGTTCAGAAATTTATCAAAACCCACTTACTGATTGATATTCTGAACAATACATTTTGTAAATAATAAATAAAACTGTAAATGGATG